TAACGGACACAGAAACAAAATACCGCGAAGCGATATTAAGTGTCTGACTTTATATTCAGATTCTCTTCTGTAGGTTTCATTAAAGTGCATTTCTTGTATGTTATTACAGTATTATAATAGAACATAAGTAAATAAATGAATGCAATAGTAAAATGCGTTTCTTTGTTTTATTCCTGTTTTTATAAGTGTAACAATATCTATTTTAATTTTAATTTTACGCAGATATAAATACAATATTATAAAAATGTATAAAGGTATACACTAACACCTTTAAATGCTTGAAAAGTTGAAATTGAATAAATACTTGTTCTTAATAATCTGAAAAATGTTTTCAATAATCTTAAATTCATTGATATCTAATGTACAATTTTCTATATCTGAAATTGAATGTGATAAATACAAAATAGAGATAACAATCACAAATATTGTTTAAGTAGTGATAAAGATATTAAAAAATAAATGTTTCGTTTTTAAAACAACTACTAATAATTAATAAAGAAATAATGAATATTATTTAACATCTTCGACGATCGTACTTCATATATGTATATTATTGAATTTCAGCTTAAAATATTTAATATCAAATATATTTCAGCTTAAAATATTTAATATCAAATAAATAATATATTAATATCAAATACACGTATCGAGAAAGTATATTAATTTACATATTTTATTATATTTTTCATAATACAAATTCTTAATACAAATCTAATACAAATCTTAAATGAATATCTTAAATGAATAATTAATTCATATATAGTAAATATCTTTCTTTTTATAAAATAAATATCTTAATGGTTAAATTAATAAGAAGGCACGATAACAATATTATATTGTTATCAATATTAATTGATAACAATAGTTTACAAAAAATATTTTTTTTAATTATTTTGAACCAGGCAAGGTATTTCTCATAGATTTTTGAATGCTGAAAACGATACCAAGGCAATTTGCAAGGCAATTGCAAGACAATTTTCAAAAATAAGATATCGGAATGAAAAAATGCCTTTTATAGCGAATGAATAATATATTCATAACATCTGATCAAAATTTCTAGATAACGTTAACTTTTTTTATAAAAATATTTAAAATCTCAAATATCGCCATTTTTTACACATTAACTTTCAATTGAAAAACTTATGTGCTAGTGAAATTTAACATCATTATAACATGTTGATTTTCAGCATTTTTTTCAGCAAATCTATAAAAAACGTCTGATTTAAAATAATTTTTGGTTGTAAATTAATAATTTGCGGCGTTATTAAAAACAAAAAGAATTAGTATCTATCTGAAAGTTTATTTTCGATAATCAGAAAATACTAACATAAATTTGAAAAGCAATATTTATGTAAAATTTTAATGAAATATTACATTAGATTGTTCATATGAGTAATTGAACTGAAAGAATGATGTTCCAACAAGGAATACAAATGCATGATGATTGAATATTCATTTAAATAATATTATAAAAGTAAATAAACATAAAAGGAATTTTCAATAGATTTTTAAAAATATTAAGATTATAGTTTTCTCTTGATAATCTTGTAGAAATAATTTAGCAAAAGTTAATTTATGACAGAAGATTTATTATTTTTGAAGATAAGTTTGAGACAATAAAATCATAATAATTGTAATTTTACTCTTTGATATAGAAATTTTTTTATGAGATAAATTTTTTGTATGGAAATTTCTCTACAAAATATATGTTTTTTTTTATAGAAATTAGAACTAACGAGTGTGTAAATTTGTATATTAGAAATAACGAGTGTGTAAATTTGGCGATGCTTTTTACTTTTTAAAAAATTATTATGTTAATTATTAATTAAGCAAAATTGTATGATATTTAAATCAGATTTTATTATTTTAAATTTCATCAACTTTTTTCATTTTCTTTACAAAAAATGAAACAAAGGAGGAATATTAATAGGCAAATTATAATTCTTGATATTATCATAATATATCG